ATAAGAAAATAAATTAAAACCAGTCAAATAATATCCAAATGAAGAATAGGTATACTTTGTGCAACGTATGAATAAATCAAAAGAATGTGAATAAAGTATAAGTAATAGCAAAAAAATAAACATACTAATATATGAACAACAATCTTCCTCAGTGTCGGAACCAGAAACTATCCAATCGAAATTCTTAAATAGATCCTTATTATATTCATGCGCTGATTATATTAGTATGTGCAAACTATATATTTCTTTATATATATAGCTAAGGCTATCATAATATTTAAATAAATAAGAACACATGCAAGGCATTGTATTCTTTTAACTCTGTTGTACAAAAATACTGGGAAGCTAGAAAACTAATGGCTTAGTGGATAAACACCTAGTATTTTCAAATAAATAAATATTTAAATAAATAAATAAATGGGCATTAAATATTGAAGTAATAATTGATTGAATACAAGTATTTTAGTTCTCTAAACTTTATTTCTAACTTTAACAAAATTTATTTCGTTAAATCACTTCAACAGTATTTTCCTGAAATCGAATGTATTGAAAATATCTTACTTTAAAAGGTCCTCATATTTCATCTCTTGATCGGCAACTAGTATTGATCCATAATACAAGACAGCAGCATACGAAAAGGGGTTCAGTCCTTGGGCAAAGCCATAAATAAGTCCTCTTATGTGAGCCATCTTTCGCGAATTTCTAAAAATAATGAAAATGATAAACTTATGTTTATTTACTTATTATTCGAAGCGTGCTGAACTGTTATTAACTTTTAGCAGGGGTCTGTCCAGACATTTTGTGAAAGGACCGTTTTTGTAAAATTGTGAAAAAATTACTAGTAATTTGTGAATATAAAATGAACGTTAAGTCACATTCTTTCAACCAGGGTTCGCTTTTGTGAATTTGGGCAAATAGGATCCGTTCTCAGGGGTCTGTTTAGAAGAAATTTGGGTCCGTTAACGGACCCTTCGCAAAATATCATCTCATAAAAAAGGACCCTTCACAAAATATTTTAACTTATAAACGGACCCTTCACAAATTAATTTTTCTTTTAAGTAGCTGCAGAGTATTCATTTCGGACAAATAAAGGAAGAAGCGTCTGCTGAAGACAAAATTTAGTTCGTTTACATTTGTCTATCTCCCCCCCCCCTTCCTGGGAAGGGTTTATTCCATTAAGAAAACAATAATGAAGATAAACAAATTTGTGAAGGGTCCGATTAAAAGATAAATTATTTTGTAAAGGGTCCATTTCTAAGTTAAAATATCTTGTGAAGGGTCCGTTTTTATGAAAAGATATTTTGTGAAGGGTCCGTTAGCGGACCCAAATTTCTTCCAAACAGACCCCTGCTTTTAGGTATTATAAGTTTAAAGAAAAGAATTCGATATGCGACAAATACAACAATCTAAAAATAATATATAAACTGTGGTAAGGACATATGATTCTTAAAAGTCATGAAAATTTGTTCTGTGCCACAACAATTTTTTTTCTTGCGTCAAAGCCAGATTACATTTCGATGAAAACAGCATAAAGTACGAAATTCGAATATTATTTCAATGGTTTCCAACCAGTGAGGATTGAGTATATTCTTCGTTCTCTGTTCTTCATTCTATGTTTAATTTCTACTGCAAAACCCTTTGTATCATCAGAAGGCAAATTTAGGCAATGCTTTCACGAAATCTCTGTGATAAAGAAATGGTGAAAAGTTCAATTTAATTAATAACCCATTTAATTTGTTATTGGGAAAAGTTCATGATGTTTTACAAGATTAATTTCTTTAATTAAAAACTGACCACTGTAAACCACTGTTCTCTAATTTGCAAATCTTTCTAAGTGCTTTCGGATCATTGTTTCCCTCTGTGTCAACTTATCTTTAAGAGTCTAAAGTCTCAATTGCATTACAAATGATGACAACTCAAAGAAGTAAATAGAAATTCGAAAGTGGCCAGCATTAGCAGCATACCGAAAATTAGTAAGGAAAAAACAAACACAGGCATCCTGTTAAACGAAATGTGACAAATACTACACTGGTCTACTATATGAATACCTTTTTTCCCTTCTAGCAATTCTATCAATATTTAGTTATTCCATTTCAAGAACTAGTCTGTTTAAGGAAACTATGAAAGGATTGGTATATTAAAATTTTTCATGCCATTGTTGTCGAATTTTTAAAACGTGTTAAGAAATAATAAAATCTGATTAAATATTTGTATAGTAGTATCTTTATGTTTTAGGTTTTGAAAGTGGACGTGACCTTTTAGCTAAAATGAAAAGAGTGAAAGGATCAAAATAAATTGGGAACCCCTAGAATTTTTTTTATTTATTAACTTTAACAGAAATTAAATGTTTGTACCGCTTTAAGGGGAGTGGATAGAGCAAATACCAATAATGCTAAAACCAATAATCTAAACAAGATATTGCTTTAGTTTTTTCAGAAAATACTTGCATATACATGTTTACACTGTGGTAACAGTTAAGACATATCTTTGGTCGAAATTTTATTAAAAAATTATTAACTAAGAACTTTTAATTTTTAAAATGTTAATAATTTTTGATCAAAAATCGTTCATAACTCAAAAAGTCTTCTGTTAAAGCTAAAACATTATAATAGTATATAACTGATATAATATCAAATATCCCCAAAAAATTTCGAGGCGATATAAGTAATTTTTTAGTAAAGGTACAACGAAAAAGATCAGTTTCAGCATTATTGATATATGCCCCACCGACTCCCCTTAAGAAATCTCCGACTTTTTTAAAAAAAAAAACTAGAAAAGAATTAATAAAAAAACTCAATTTAAAATTTAAATTAGGTATTAAAAGAGATGCATTAAATTTATTAAAAAATCTTTACCATTATGATTTTACAATAACACCGTTTCATTTGCATCATATTATTTAACAAACGTTTTACGTAATCTCTCTTACGTAATCTCATAAGTTTTCATAAAAATGTAGTATTGATTTTTCCTCATCTGATGAAAGAAATTTACATTAGCTTCAGTAAAAATATCTGTTTAATTTGTTCTTGAGTTAAAAAATTAATAATTGCTTCACGCTCCTTAAAAAGATTTAAAGCCTTCATAGCTATTACAGATTATAACTACAGCAATAAATGGTATAAACTAACTTGAGAGGCTTCAGAAGAGCAGAGTAGAATTGGTGGTAGAAGTTTTTTTCTTGATGCAGAGATGCAACAGTGCGTATGCTTTCTATTGCTTCTATTGCTACCTAAATATTAAGAAAATAAACATGCGTCAAGTAATGCTTCTAAATGTATAATTAATGTATGTATTCTAAATGTATGCATAATTTAAAATGCTTGTTAATTAAACAAGCATTTTAAGATATAAACTGAACTATTTTCCGTAAATTGTTTGAAACGTGAATATATTTAACAAAATAAATGGAGAAAACAACATATTCTAAACACATAATTAAATTAATGGATTTGATCAGTGTTTTCCAAACTTGAATACAAAATCATGGTAAGATTTTTTTATAAATCGTATATAGTATTTATCTGTTACAAATTTGTGCATTTAATAAAGGAAACAAAACCACTATATATGTTTTATTGTCAAGAAAATTTGCATATTTTTTTTTTTAAATATTAAATTAAATGCATTACATTTTCTATATATTTTTTCATGGGTCTTTTGGCATATTTGTAGAAGTAGCTTGTTGTAGCCACATTGCTTGTTTATTTGTATCTATATAGAATTAGTACTTATGACACCTTGATCATATTGTGCATGATCTGTACAATTCTATTTGGATTGGCAAGTATTAATAAAAAATAACACTAATTAAAAATTTTTTCAAATCAAATGATCGGGGTTTAAGGTTTTCATTTAAAATTTTATCTTAAGTAAACATTAATGTATTTTTTATCAAAATAATTCAGAAGGAGTTTAGAAAAGAAATAGTATAGCGTTTAGAATAATCTCTGTGAGTATGATATCCATTTTAAAGTGGAACTAATTTAGTAAATTTTTTGAGGAAACCATGTGACACTAATTTACTTTTTAGAAGACTTAAACTTTCAGTTTATAACTCAAATAAAAAAGATTTTTATTTAGAGTTTGCTTTGCCACATATTAATTGGTTTAGGAAATTTAATTCATTCATTTTTAACACTTAAGATTTCATCAACTTGTTTTTTTAGTAACGTTTTTAAGGTCTCCCTCAAGTTAAACATTCTAATTATTCATTCAAATTTTCGACTTTCTTGCCGTTTTTTCCATCATTCATTCCTTTATATTAAAATGTATATATATACAATTATACTAATAATCAATGATTTGCTCATTTATTTTATTTGTTTATTTATTTATTTATATCGTTTAACTATTCTTGTATCATACACTTATTCTTTCAAGCATTATTTGAATTTATTCAATCGATTTAATTCAATTACTTTCCTTAATCAATTTATTAAAATGCATAGGCATCGTTGGTGGTGGGGCTTTAGTATATGTCTCCCGAAATAATTAAAAATCTATAAAAATATTCCCCAATATTTCTGACAAATAACGAAATTTTTTGCGAACTGTCGATTTAAATTGCTTAAACTTAAAAGCACGAAAGAGATAAAAAAAATAAATAATAATTTTGTTGGTAATTAGCACATTTAAGAATTTTTTTTCTTATGTCTAAGATTTAGAGAACTATTGTGACTATGTAATTTAATTTCGTCCTCCTCAAAAACTGGATTCTATCGACGAACATGTTAAAAACATGCCCTATTAGCAAACGTGAGATTTAAAAAAAGTTCTATTCAATAAGTATGTTACAGAAGTATGTTACAGATTTTATTCAATAAATAAGTTACAGAAAAAAAAGAATAATTATTTAGAATTTTTCAAGTTGAAATCTATTTCAAAGTATTTTCCGTAGAATCAAAAAAGATATCGCGCACAATATTTATACTTAATGGGAACACGCGTGAAATGTTTCACTTAAATATTTCATGCAACTTTATTGTTAAAATTATCACCTTTGATGCGGCCTCTGTTCCAGCCTTTTCACTTGTTGATTGTCCAGACACAACTATTCCTTCAAAATAAGCACCCAAGAGAACGAACGGCATGAAAGCCAATGTAAGACCACCAAGTCTTGCATCATACCACATCGCCAGAATTATTCCAAATACAAAAGTTGAAAGAGCTTGAAATAAGGTTGACATTCTTGCACCGGTGGCCTAAAAGTTTCAATATATCTAATAAATGAATTTATGCTAATCAATATTTAAAAGCACACGCAATTTGAATATTAAATGGTATATATTTTTTGTTACATTTTTCCTTTGTCTATTTGGAAGATGTGTTAAGCACTATACCGTCCACTATGTTTAGTGAAAAATGTGATTACTGTTACAATTGTAATAAACAACCAATAAATTATTATTGATATTTCTATTTTATAAATTGTTATTAATATTTCTATTTAATAAATTATAATTAACAATATTATTTAATAAATTATCAATAAATTCTAAGCCATTAACTATCATTAAAACATTTGAGATTTGATTTGATTTTATATTTTTAAGCAATTGACTTATAATTCTTAAAAAACTTATTTGACAGTAATTTTAAAATTTTGCATTGGATGTGGACCGAAATTATTTTAAATTTTAATACAGTTTTGTATGGAATTAAATAACCAACTGACAATATTCGTTTCAATTAATAATTTTTCTAAAATTTTTTGTTAATGAATTCAAATAAACTTACCCCTTGAACTTGTGAAGCATCTGAAGTCAGGCGAGAACAAAGAGCACCAACACTGTTTTTAGAATTGTCGAAGAAACTCATATCCTATTAAAAAAAAATGCTTTGTATTAAGGGAATTGAATTTTAATCTTAGCTTTAAACAGTAAATATATATTAATTACAAACCTGAGTAATTATGTTGGCAAACACCATTTTTCTTAACCTTGAAGTTAGTTTTTCGCCAGCAACAGAAAACATAAACATCTGAAAATGGGTCATACCGTAAGTAAAATATGAAATAAATGGAAACTTGTAACTATGCAACAATAACACATTTATTAGTTTGCTTGTTTATTTTATCATTCTAACTGTGAAGATTTTAAGATATAATAAATGCTTCTCAGCTTTAACATCATTAGATATTAAATCAAAGGTTATTAAATAAGAGTAATTAATTTTTTATTACGATGATAGGAAAGATGCAATTGGTATTAAAAGAGTAATTAATTTTATTTGTTTGATAACTATAAGAAAGCTAAAGTATTATTTTTTTCATTGCATCAGAAACAATTGTTAACAATCCATTAGATTTTAAGTAATCCATTAATATAACGAGTTTTATAGATACATTCGAAGGTGGTTAGTTTCAGTATATTAAATATGGTTGAATCAATGAGTTCATATAAAAGAATTATTAAACGAATAAAAATAGTAGATTTCATCCACTGTACATGAATATTAGATTTGACCACAATTTCTGAGAAAGATTCTCATATATCATTGTCTCCTATATCATTCCCCTATATCTATAATATTCACTGATATCTCCAAATCAATAAATATTTTTTTTATTGGTATTCTAAATTAGAACACCAAAGTAATTGAAAAATAAAAAAGTGAAATATAACAGTACACTATGTATCATTAAGAATGAAGTTTATTTCATTACCTGTAGAAAAGTGCAGATAAAAGATGTAATTCCTAATACTACAAAGATGAGACACCAAAAGTTAGTTTCATCAGTAATTTGATCAGGTGGTTTAGCTAAAACCTATAGAAAAATTGAAATCGTCAAAAAAATATTTTTGCGAATAATTACAAGCACTACTTTACGAGAGCTCTTTCATAATGCTATGCAACAAAGTCTGAATTCAACAAATCAACAGCTGTCTCTAACGCTGAATTAATATTAAAGAAAACTTTGTGGTATAACAATATTAATTCTGAAATAAAAACAACTATATAAAAACTTTTCAAACGTATGATACTATATCATCCGTAACGTTGCAAAATAGGATAAGGAAATGTAACAGAATGTCATTAAATTTTACATTTGATTTTTTTTTATAGTTGTTGTTTAAGCTACTATCTTAAGTAATAAGACTTACGAAAATGAATGCGTCAGAAGTACAGAGTGGTTAAAGGTGCCAACTTTCAGAGATATAAATTAAAGTAAGAGTAGTGCACTGCAGATTCCCGTAATTTTAACCAGATCTCACGAGAGCATTCAATGCCAATGTAGAAAATTGCTAAGATGAGTCCAGAACACAACAATGCGCAACACTACAATTTTTGGAGGTAGAAGGTGATTCCAATCTGGAAATTTATCGTTGAATGTTTGCTGCTTGTGGCAAAAACTCTCTAGGACAAATGGCTTGGATCAAATGGTGTGAAAGTTTTCGTGGTGGGTGTGCATTAAGTATCTGCTAAACCCCGTTGCGTCAAACGCAATGATTTATTAGGAATTCGTAACTACTGCAAAAAAATAATTAAAGATGATTAAATAGTCTTGTGACATTTGGTCAGCACTTTGCCTGACGTGAGTAAAAGATGTCGCAATCACGTTCTGTAAATAAAAATCAACTATATTGCGTTGTTCTGCTCTGGACGCATCCTTGCTATCAAGACTTTACAATTTCTCTAAATGCTCTCATGTTAACTGGTTAGCCAGTTATATACAGTATTCAGCTATCACTAAAGTCTTTCAGACACTACTTCACACGAACTCTAACAGTTCAGTGAACAATCAAAATATAAAATCGTTTTGGAAAATTATTGTAATATTAGAAAATTTAGTTTAAAATACCTCTCCCCAGAATTTTTACACAGTGCAGATGTGCCGTGTTGGGTGTAGGGAAACGGTTCCTGTCTAAGTCCATACAGAAAAAACAAAGAAAAGCATATGATGGGAAGACAAATGATTGAGAAGGAATATTGAGGAAAGAAACAGATTTTCGATTTCCAAATTTTGTTTTTTCTCAACATCAAAAATTTTAAATAATTAATAATAATTTAAATTTTTAGGGAACGTAAATAAATACATCTGAGATTCATGTGCATTTTTATGTTCACGATTTTAATCGTATGCTTACACCCGAAAAATTTAAAAACTTGAAATTCACAAACGGATTTCATGAACACAAACCGTATCGACACCCTTAAACTTCATACATTAGTATATGGACAGTAAAAACAATTATAACTCCGAGTATGCAACAAACAAAATAGTCACAAAATTATTTTAAGAGAACATATTTTTTTAAAAATAATAAAAAATTGCAGAATTATGAATTCGTAAGCATACCCCCAAAATAGATCCAAATATGATACCAAAAGCAGGCATATGCAAGCCCATGCACATTGCAGCCAGTCCTCCAATGACAGCAAAAGGCCATTCGGGTGCTGAAACTTGTAATAATCTAGTTTTGGGTGGATCAGCTTTCTCCTCTTCCTCCTCGTCCTGAGCTTTCTAAAATTATTAAATTATAGAACATTTCATGACTCATAATAAGTAAATATTACCAATTATTGGTACTTCAAGTACGTGATGCATAATTAATATGCTATTTCTGCATAATTCACTATTTGTTTTATTTTATTTTATGACCACCGTTGAACAGCCGACACAATTTTTAAGTTTATGACTACTAATCTTCAACGCCGCAGCTTTGTAATTTTGAAACAATCCAGAAGACAGACTCCTGGATCAGTAACCCCAGAGGTATTGATTTGCTATGGGAACATGGAGGACTTTGAGACTCGACAGATTTAACGTGCATCAGTCACCATTTACGACACCGGGAGTCTCCGAACGGTGGGGACCGAACCCACGAACTCTTGAACATGTGCCCGGCACCCCACCGACCAGGCTATTCCAGTCTAGTAGCGACAATTTATCTGAATTATTGTTGCACCGCACCTGTGGCCCTGCTACAAGGGGAGTATTAGTTGAGCTTTATTTTATTATATTTTTGTTCTCTAAAGGAGTGTTTATAGTAGAGGCCATATTTTCTTTGTATTCTGATAATAAAAAATATACGGGCCGTGGTATATATGTGGTTAGAGAATCGGAAACCAATCTAGAGGAACTGGGGTTCGATCCTCGACTCCGTTTAGACCTATCGAGTACATGCGATACAGGTGCTCGTAAAATCTGTGGAATCAAATGTCCTGTAGTCGGTCTCTGAGCAGTAACATGTATACAATGATCTTGAAGAAATTTCCTTCCCCTTCAGATTTATGTCTAAATTGGGGAAGTGACCTCACGAATGAATAGTGCTGCCATCTCTTTGTGGAGTTCTGAGCTAAGACGTACTTTCCCCATTGCGGTGCTTTCATGTCAAACGAAAATAGCAAGTTAAAGAAAAACGTTATCGAAACTTTAAAAAAAAAACTGAAGAGAAAGACAAGGCTATGTATCATATTAATTTCGATCGATCGATAAATCGATAAATAAAACTTTATATATTTGTTATTTTTACTAACACCTTTTCCTATATTGATTCGAAAAATTTAGACCATATTAGTTTTTTTTTCATTTTGCTAAACCCCTAAATAGATATACCTTTAATACGGAACCTAACTTTTAACTAATTGTAATCAAAGTCGAGCAACTGTTCTCGACTCTGATCCCGAAAAAATTGTCATCGAATTTCGACTACACAGCTTTAGTTTCAATTACATAGATAATAAAAGTTTAAAGCATGTGAAATTGAGCAAATTTTTTCTATCTTCTTACCACTGATCCTTCTTTTTCAGCACTGTAGGCAGAAATTTGGCGACCATATCCACTTACTACTGATATTTGGCGATCAATGCCACTTGATATTTGTCGATGCATGCCTGGTCTTGGAATGCTGGCCGAAGAAAGACGTCTTTGAAGGCTAGTATCTGATGATATACTTAAAGCACGGGCTCTGTCTTCAATGAGCGGTAGATCGTCATCCTCTTCTTCTTCCTCTTCTGCATTACTAGTCTTAAAAAAGAAAATTTACACAGCAATTGAGTACACCTGCATTATGTATTGGTAAAAAGTCTATTAATTTGAAATCTTTCTACCTGTGTAACAACTAAATCATAATAAAGACCTTTTCTTTTCATTAATTCGTCATGTGTACCAGTCTCTTTTACATTTCCTTCTGATAAAGCAACAATTTTATCTGCTGTTCTAATCGTTGAAAGCCTGTGTGCAACAACAATTGTTGTTCTACCTTTGCGAGCCTGAAATTGAAAAGTATTTTATGAAGAATATATACAAATGCAAAGAAACGTTTATAATCTGACAGAAGGTCTCTAGTAATCTGTTTATTTTAAGAACACTTGATAAAAATAAGAATGAAGCGATAACTGCCTGTATAAAGAAGTTATTTACAAATATATGTAATTCGAAACAAAATCTTATGCTAAAGTTATATTTAAGATAAATAAAGTAGGTTTTGAAAATTTTCATTTATTTATTATAATTTTATAGCTATCCAAGTTTTACTAACCAATATAAATAACGAGAAAAGCTTTTACACGTCATATGACAAATAATCCGGTTTTGAGATAGTTTGTAATTTCCCTTTGGCATTTTATTCCGATTAGTGACATGAAATTAATGGACATGAAATTATTATTATGGACATGAAATTAATTGGTAAAACTTCATGATTCAGTTTTACTTAATAGCTGCAAAATCACAAAAACTAGTGGATCCTATTAATGAGAAATTATAAATCAGAATGTATTTTTCCTTTTTTTTGTTGCAAAATACGTTTAATGCTTTTCAGCGTGACGTTTCATTATTACTCAAAATAATTTTGTTAATTTATTTATTACTGTATTGAGAAAATATCTAATAAATAAAAAAAAATATTTAACACATAAATTATTCCTTTGCTAATCACACTTATATCTGAGGTTTGAACATTGGGCATATTAATACTAAGACACTGAACTATCATAGTGAAGAACTGGAATCCAATCCTCAGCAGAGGCTTAAAGCCCATCCAGCTTCAAATCGATGGGCCTGTCCGAGAAGTAAATGAAGGCATATGAGCTATGCAGGCCACATTATTACAATCATCTCCTGTCATGAAAAAAAGGGGTCACGTTGTCATTAACATCCACACCCCTCTGAGCTGTTTCGGAATGCTTTTACATATTGATACATAATTTATAATAATAATGGATATACAAATTTCTAGTAAATAAAAAAACATATTTATGCATTTATTAATTCAGTCTAAAAACACACCAAAATTTGATGACAAATTGGTAAAACATAACAACTGATTAATCTCGGAAATTATTTAAATAAAGAAAAAATCGTTTAAATAATTCATTAGATTGACTTACAAATACACTTATTGAATTGCTACAGGTTAATACATTGTTAAATATTCTTTCGAAATTTCTAAATATAATATGTTTGCAATAGCTAAACAGAAATAATTTAAATTTTAATAGTCTTAAAAAGTACACATACATGATTATTTTTAAAATCATAACGATTTATTAATAAATTGTTGGTGAAAAGATGCTAAACTTTAAACTTTGATTTGGTTGTCATTGCAATAATAGCGCAAAAAAACATTTAGTTTACAAAAAGTTATTTCACGACTATCGTCCATGCATTTAATGAAAAAAAATCTAAAACTTTTGCTTAATTTCTCAATATTGTTTCCATATTTTTTTCTCTAGTCAGTTTTTATGATGAATAAAAGTGGAAATACCAGGAAATGTTAAATAATGATTTTCATTATCGTAATGAAATTAATATAATGGATATAATAATATTAATGCCTTTCTAACATTATTAAAAACTTTGAGTCATAGTTTTATTGTTTTTTTGCATTATATTTTTATTGAATTTTATGTAAAAGACAATTAATTTTTAAGGAACTTAAAAATGAACTTGTGATAAGATTAAATCAGGTTGAACTATGATAATAAATAGTAAAATGTGGACCGTTATCAATTTTCCTTAATATACATCAACAAAACAAATCAATGAATTCCTTTCCAAATAAAATTACATTCAAAATAATCAATAATGCAATAAAATATTTACACGAAAAATAAATTAAACAAATATTGAGATAAACTATCAATTCAAATGGAACTTTCTTTGTAAATAATGCACATTTCTTGCTATTTTTCTACAAAATATTTAAGAATGCCTGTAAGTATTAAAAAGAGAAAGTTTGTAATTCATTTTAATGGAGGGAATTAAGAAAATAATGATAATAAAAGACCAAAGTCCACAAGCAGCGAAATAAAATAGATAAAAAAATATACACTTGACAAAATACAGTGCAATTACTTTTTTATTATCTGTATATTTTTAAACAAAAATAAAGAAATGATATAAATGACAAATATGTTTATCTTCTTCATTCATTTCTGCAAGGCCATTCATATCTTAAGCACTCTTCCCTTCCGTAAAAAACATGTCAAACCATGGAAATGATAAATGTGTGGGACTGCACGCGAGAATATACAGGAAAACAATTACTCTCTTATCTATTAGAAAAAAAGGACGTTTCGTTGACAGTTACTACCGTTTTAGATAGTACATTTGATAGCAGTTTCCCTAAGAAAAAATTAATAAACAAATAATTTGAAGTAAAAAAAAGAGTCAGAGATATTTCGATTTCCATTTATAAGACCTCTTCCCTTGCCATCTTGGATTTTAAGTTAAATTTATAAATTTTTTTCGTTTCCCCGTCGTTTTGAAACTCTAATCAATTTTTTAAATATTGAGTTATCATTCGTCAGCAGCGCATATTTAGAAAAAATAATAATTAATGTCGTTGTTTTAATTAGGAGAAATAGCTGTTGATAATTTTCAGAAACTTTATGGCTTTCCTTTTTTTTCAAAAATGTAGAGCATTCAAAATGTAGAGCAATCAAATGTAAGCATGCGGTTAATTATTTTGATTAAGAGTCCTCCATTCTCTCTGTCTAAGATTTTTAAGAATATATTATAGTTTTCTCGATGTTTGTGGTTCTTAATAGACTTTGTAATATAGAGTATTACTCACCTATTATATATAATTAGAAAAATTGAAAAATACTTTCATCTCTAGGATATATAGCGGTTGATAATTTTCAAATTCTATATGTTTTTTTTCTTCAAAAAAGTAGAGTATTTACCTAATGCCGATAATTATTTTGATTAAAAGGTTTCTACCCTCAGTATCCTGGATAATAAATTTTGAAAAACCCTCCTCATTACAATAACAATCAAATTTAGAAATACAATTAAGATTTCGACTTAAAAAATTATAATTACACACCTTTTTCCTAAGTGTAGAAGAATATTTAAAAGCAGCAGAAACCCTAATTTGTTCTAAAGGAAAGAAATCAGAAAGACCATGAATAATCTGTGGTAACTTAGCATTTTCAAAATTCTTATCATGAAAATTAATCGTACAAAAAACCCTTTCGACTTTAGAAACATTATTAAAAAGCAAATCAGTTTTATTAACACCAATTTTTGATTTAATTAAATCCAAAACTATAAATTTAACAAGTTCAGTATCAAATTTAATTTTAGAACCAAATTTAATAAGGAAATTTTTTAAAACTTTATTTTTAAAACCAAAAATATATTTCCTAATAGTGAAAATATTATTCAAATTAACAGGTAAGTTACAAAAATTCGAAAACTCATCAAACTCAATAAATTTACCCTTACCTTTTCCACCTCCCCTTTTACTTCTAAATTTTGAATCACAAACACCAGGAAAATCAAAAACTTTTAATTTATTATAAATACAAAAATCTTCAGTATTAACAGTACCTTCCCCATTAAATTTACTATTTAATCCATAAGGAAAAAGAGTCTTAAGACTACCAATGTAAATATTTTCTAAATCAAGTCTTTTATCTAAATTTTCCATAAAATCCAAAATAAAAAGAGTAACATTATTAAAATCATGAAATTGAAAATGTAAAATTTCATAATCCGTGGAACAATTACTATTATTAAAATTTTTTATAGCTGATCTGTGGGAATTAATCCGCTTATGAAATTCAAGACCTGTCTGACCAACATAACACAAATTACAACAATTGCACTGAATTAAATAAATAATATTAATACTTTTACAAAAAAATACATTAGAATGACTGTCAATTTGAGAACTATCAGCCAAAGGACAAGTTTTACATTTTTTATTACAACATTTCTTAAACTTTTTAAATTTTGATTAAAAGGTTTCTACCCTCAGTATCCTGGATTTTAGGTTATTTAAATTATTAATGTTTGTTTCATTTATACTTTTTCGTACGTAACAAGCTTTTGAATAAATATATAGTATTATTGGACAGCATAATACCTTTTAAATAAGTAGGGAATAACGGAGTTGTTTTATTAAAATAAAAGAAGTAGAACTTGATAATTTTAGAAATTCTATGAATTTTTTCTCAAAACTTTAAAGCAATAAAATAATGCGACTTGTTGTTTTGAGTAAGTAATATAAAACTAGACTTTCTTAATTTTTTAAAATTTAATTTAATTGCAGTCTAAATTGATGAAAACCTATTAAGATGGCTCTAAGGCTTTTACACTAATTGGATAAAAACAACGATGCTAGTTAAAAAACTAAAAATAAGAAAATGGATACTATTTAACTACCTATCAAACACTATTAATTGCAGAATTGTATTGTCATAATTTTGTCAGAAAAAAATATATAAAATACGCTTTATATCTCATATTGTGATTGGGTGGCGGCCTTGTTCTTTATATGTACCGAAAGATAATCTGAAATAAATTAAATATCCATCATCAATATATTTGTAAAAATTAAATGAAGAGGATTAAAAGTATATTTTAGCATAAGAAATGAAGTGAAATTTTCGGACTCAAGAAAAATTATGCGCATTAACTTTAACCACTTAAAATAATTTTTTGTAAAAAAGTTGAGCGTTCAAAAATAGATACATTAAAGAGCGTCGAATTCTACAAAGTGGGCAGATAATTCTACCATAACTAAATGGCAACAATGGGTTTAATTTGATACAAACGACTAAATTAATAGTGCTATGATTTAATTGGGTATAATATGAAAAAAGCACAACTACTTCCACTTACTAGGAATAACATTTACCTTTTAGCTTAATTAATAAACTGAGTTTTAAATATGCTTACTAAATTCATAAACTTCGGTAAAACAACAGCATAAATTATTTCCAAAGGAACTAGACTAATACAATTCCAACCTGGAGAGTAGCGACTTATAACAAGACACTTTATGCTTTTACTTGTTGCTAGAAATCAGGTTCGCAGAAAATGCTGTTTACTAGTTAAATTTAGTAGGAATAACACGATCTGTGAAGTAGGCTATAGTATACCCAAATAGATATTCGACATGATTGATAGTGCAGAGTTGAAATTTCTAATCATTAAATATTAACGTAAAGATCAACTTTATTTCCGAAATAAAACAGTTTTAAATACTTATTTAATTTCATTATACGAACCTAAAGAAGCTTTACCCAGTTTAATATTTTAGAATTTTCAATCATGACAAGGAGAGGACATTATTGTCCATACCTATATAGGTTGTTTACGCCTGCGATTAAAAGTTATTAGTAAATGAACTAGAGAAATTGTGCTTTTGCACTTAAAGAATCATATAAAATTTTCCTATCAATAAATAATTCTTTATCTATTACCTGATCTAGAGCTGCTTGAACTACAGCTTCACTTTCAGTATCCAACGCTGAAGTTGCTTCATCTAATAATAATATTTTAGGATTTTTAATTAAGGCACGTGCAATAGCAATTCTCTGTTTCTGACCGCCACTCAGCTGAGTTCCACGTTCTCCCACAAGAGTATTGTATTTCTATTTAAAAATAATTACATATGAGAACATATATAGATTAAACGAAACGCTGAATTGAGACGAGTAAATGTCTTAGGACTTACTAATGGTAAGGCATCAATGAAGTTATGCGCATTAGCAATTTTAGCAGCAGTCTCAATTTCTTCTTGTGTTGCGTCTAGTTTACCATATTTAATATTTTCTAAAATTGTTGTTGAAAATAGTACAGGCTCTTGCCCAACGAGACCTATATGGTCTCTTAACCAACCAACGTTCAAATCTTTGACATCTGTGCCATCAAGCTCAACCTAAAAAAAATCAATCATCTTAAAATTGAATATAATTTTCATTAATAAAATGAATAGTTTGTGCGTCTCCCTTATAACTCCAGAACAATTTGCACTAGCGTCCTCAAACGTGGACAGGAGCATCAAGAGATAGTTTTGGTCCCTGATCATAATATTCTTTAAATTGTTTCAGCTAGATTGTTTTAAAGTCAATATTTCAGTTAGATTGTTCTAAAGAGGCGTTTGAATTTCTCATTGATTTAGCAAAAGCCATATATTTTAAAGATAACATCAGTGTTAGATTCATATAGCTCAATTTAATTTAAAAAACTGTTTAAAATTCGTTAATATTAAATTATTTTTTTTCATTATGTCAAGTTATTCACTATGTTGCTGGATTGCTGATACGGAACAGCTTGAATGGTAAGAGAAGTCTGCAGAATTTACCCTGAGGTTAAGTTCAGCTCTTAAGTTTATCATCAAACTCAATAGAAATAACTCTGTATTTTAAAAAAAATAATTTAAACATATCTAATAGTTTTAAATTTTAGAAAAAAAAGATTTTTTAAATTATTTTATTAAATTTCCTAACATTTACACCATTTAAAGAATGTTTTTTTATTTTTTTTATTTTGAGAAATGAAATTTGAATGCTTTTTTTTAGTTGTTAACGCCAAGAATCTAGGGTGTAAACGAGCGTTTGGAAGAGTTATAATGTTAGAATTCAGGGTAAGTAACCGATAAAACTCCTTGATTCTGGTAAATTTTGTCAATCGTAGGCAGGTCAATAGCAGTACCATTAAGGAAAATGATACCAAATTCAGTTGATCTTTATTTTAATGCGATGAAGTACTAAGAACCCATTTTGCTTCGTATAATAACATGAAATCTCCGTAAAGGGCAACAAATAATAATAATAAGTATATTAAAAAAATTAGAATAGCTTATTTAATTGTTTTGGTCTTTCAGTTTTAGGCATGTTGTTTAATACTGATTGTTGAAGTATTGTTTAATACTTATTTATTGATTATTTTCTTTTTCTACACGCCGAGCGAAGCGCAGATATTCAACTAGTAAATAATAAAATGTAACCGAAATGTTTTTTTCGAAAAATAGTAATTTCAATGCAAAGTTAACAAGGAAAGAATATTTTATGATAAATAAATAATGTATTTCTTTTTCAGAAGATAAATTTTATCACCTTTTGAAAAACTGTTATGTAAATTTGATGTGATAACAAAAACAAGTGATATCTATATATATATTTCTCTTACACGACACCAAAAAAAGGCCTCATTACAACTCCCCGAATGGGAACGTTAGAAAATCGACCAATGATTGCTGCTAAAAATGTTACATGGCAAATCTAGTGGGGTGACTCAACATATAGCGCTTTTAAAAACGGAAACAATAACCAGAGTGAGCATTATCAGGTTGTTCAATTCAGCTGCGGCAATCTCATACTATTAAGATAGGCAGAAGTGAGTAGTAGATCTCTATTTTAGTATTTTGTCGAAAGCGATTTTCCGAAGTACTTTGTACAACTAAATAAGATTCTTTTCATAACACTTAAATATTTACTATATTTTCTTCATTTATAGAGATAACAGTCGGCAAAGAATTCGGTTAGGTTAAAAAACATTTCGCTAAAAAAAGAACGAATTCTAAAATAAATGAAAATAAGCAACTTAAAAAGTAAAAATGCTGTTGCCAGCCATAAAATTTTTTGAAAGTTAACTTAGCAACATAAATCAAAATGACATAGAAGCGCAACTAGATCAAAATTATGATACCTGAGCGCTTGACGTAACAAATCCTTCAATTCTATAAGTGTTGTATCGCCAAATGCCCAAATTAACAATTGCAATTTCAAATTAATATTGAAATGTACAGGTTTAGAATTTTCTACAGTGAAAAGTTTTCGGAACTTCAGTATTCAAAAAAGTATACAAAAGCTAGACGTTAAGAACGAATCCAATGAGCGAGCATAGCGAGCATTGGATTGCGAAGCAATCTGAAATGAACTGCGAAAGCAGTTCCGGGGGTTGGTGAGCGCCAGCGAGTAGGGGGCGAAGCTTCCTAGTATTAAGTTAAAACAAATAAAAGTTTCATCTGAAATATATAAATAAAAAAAAATAACGATATAAATTTTTTCCAGTGACCTTTAACAAAAAGAATCTAAGGATTTGCATTAATAAAAAAAAATTTATTAGTTTTTCGCAACGAATAAAAATAATAAAATTCAACTAAATATGTTCGGATAATCATTCTCAGCATAGATTTTCTTCCCTTTTTCAGTTTTATTTTCTCGGAAACCATAGTTTAGCTCAGTCGTTTTCAGTTCATGAATATAGTAAAATCTAATCTAGACTCCACTCTAGACATAGGAATTCAAATGAATTCAACTATGAATTCAACCTGACATAAAACTCAACATTAAGACTAACCTAACTAAACCGATATGATGATATTTTCATTCCGATAACCAATATAATGTTTCCATTCTCCATTAATTCACTGTATATTAATGAAATAATAAATGAACTTTAGATTATTGCATATTTTTAAAACAATTATTACTCATTCGTTAATCTGCTCGAAATCGCAGATGAAATATATTAACTTAGTCTCGGGGCTCCACCCAAATAAAGTCGATAATTTAGTGTTTCACTGCTGAAAAAACGGCTGGTGTAAGTTATCTGCCTACAGAAAAGAAACTACTGTCAAAAAAACATAATAGACAAAATATATTTTATAAAGCTTTGGCAAATTCAATTTTAAACAACGACTTTAAAGGGAAGGAAAGATTTCTTTTTTAGTCACACTTCAAAAAAAAAAAAAAAAAAACACTGGATGNAAAAAAAAAAACGATGAGCGTGTCATAAATATAATAAACTTCTGTCACTACCGAAAAATCTCTCCGCGTCTTTCAAACGAGATGTAGTCTCCTGCATTTTATTATTATTTTAGACGTGATAAAAATAGAATATTGTCTCCTCTATTTGAAGAACGCAGTTTATAATTTTTTTTAATATTTTTTTTAAAAATTTGATACTGATTGCGGTTTTATGACTTTAACATAGTATTGAATTTAAATAAGGTGGTAATCTAAAATCAAATAAAAATTCACGTAAGGAAAAAAATAATTTGAAATAAATACCTATTTTTATACTAACGAAACTTACACTTCCTGAATCAGTATCGTAAAATCTTAGAACAAGTTGAATGATGGTGCTTTTTCCGCATCCACTTGATCCAACTAGTGCTACAGTCTCTCCCGGAGCAACATCCAGTGACATATTTTTTAATACCTAAAAACAATAAATGCAATTATATCAGATATGAGTAAAAAGAACTTTATGCTCATTTTTATAAAATTTTGGATTAATTGTTTTCATAATTAACATACTGCCACATCTTTCCTAGCTGGATAATTGAAGTTTACATCCCTAAGAGTTATGACACCTCTCAAAGATCCTGGTCTTAATCCTTCCTCAGAGCTGCTATCAATAACTGGTTTCTGAAAAGCAATTTTTTAATATTTTATTGAAAAAGATACATTTAATTGGAATTTGCATTTTCATGTAATTGTAGAAAATAATTGATAAATAGTATAAGTTTTTTTTCCATAAGAATTTCTTTTTTAATTATGGAATGACCTATGTCATACAGACATCTGAAGGGCAGATTTGTTGGCCCCTTTTCCAGGGCAACATATTAGGTGGGCTAACGTTGCTCCTACATTAAGGACAAATAGTTCAGAGAATGAAATAGCACCCATGGCCTTGTCTGGGCTTCGAACCCAGAAACTTTCTGATGCAAGGCCAGTTCCCTGACTCCTACACATGCCGGTCGGCATTTTAATGTAGTTAAAGCTATCAATTTGTTATTAGATTTGAGTCAAGTTGAGTTATTAATTTTATAAACAAGTTATCAAAAGTTGATTGCTGTCACGAAATGTTATCATAAGTATTGCATGAACTGTAATATGAAAGGAGTTTCTAAAAAAATATAGACATATGCAAAAATGACTGAAATTCACAAAACTCCAACAATATTTTACAAAATATTCAAGATTTTAAATAATATAAGCAGTAAAAAAATTACCTGTATCTGAACGCAATAAAAGTGGCAACTACTTTACTCTAAAATGCTGTTCTATTTAGGTCTCAACTAACTACACCAAGAATCAAGAATAGTTCCAGGTGTAATTAAATACGTAGAAAATTCTTTTAAACTATTTGGTGTAAAGTAACCACTACCATGTTTATTATTCAGTAACACTAAATTTTATAATTATAGTAGGATAAGATACGCATAAGCGTCTATAAAATTATTTTTAAGTTACCATATAAAGCAAGAATCATTATTTTAGGAAACATATATGCAATATTTCTTACAATAAATTTGTTTATCAAACACACGCGCAACACTGGGCGAATATCAATAGGAATTCGAACAAAGTTTACAAAAACCGAAGCAGAAAAGAGAAATTAAATATTATAAAACTTATTTAAGAGCTTAGTTTGAACTACATCCTTTAAATTAAGCACGGACGCTTGATTCTGTATTAACTTAAAATAACAGAGTGTAATTATTGGAGTTTTTCAACATCTTTTTCCGATAAGTATTACTCCTCAGTTTTACACTGTACTTTTAATGATTTGGTGTTGGGTAAAAACATCATAACCTCTAGATGAATAATAAAAATTGTGAAATGATACACAAACAGACTTGTAAAGTCAATAGTTTGAGTTCAGTTTACATAAATAATACATACCCTTTCAATAATGTGAAATATTTTAGCTGCAGCACCTTTCGCTAGAGCAAACGCTTCAAAATATGGAGATGTTTGTCCAATAAACATCGACGCCGACATAACATTGAAAAATACCTATTAAAGAAATAAACTTTTGTAAGTAGACCATTTCTAAAACAAAATCAATAAGTAAATGTAAAATAAATTATTTATTCATGATTTTTGAATAAAGGAAAATTAAAGTTACTCAACAATAATTAAAACTCCTCCATCATATTCGGGGTCTACTTGACCATAACCTTCAATAATAAGCTGAACGCCATACCAAAAAGCAAGAGCATATCCTGCAAATATTGAAAACCAAGTTATGCTTGCTCCCAGAGCAGTCCACAGTCCTCTTTTGATACCTTTTCGCATAGCAGGAAGTAAGCGGTTTTCATACCTGGGAAAAGTATATGAAATACAAAATTATATTAGCAATTTGAAATATTACAAATTCTATTAATTAAACTTGGTAGTTACATTTTGAAGTATAATAAATTTGAAAGAAAAATTTCAGTTGACTTTTGATGCATAACACCTTTTTTAAACAAAGGCAAAAGCATAATTTAAATATAAATTATAAATATTTTTTAATTTTATAAATTATTTGAATATTAATTTCTATAAATTATTTATATTTTAATTTTTATAAATTATTGACATTTTAATTTTTATAAATTATTAAAATTTAATTTTTATAAATTATTAAAATTTAATTTTTTATGAATTATTTAATTTTTAATTTATATAAATCATACTTTTATCTTATAAAGTATAAGTATTTTTAACATGGAAATAAAAATATAATAAAAACAAGAAAAATATGCGTTCTTAAAAAAAATTCCACTTTTAAATTTTGATTTAATTTTCGTGTTTAAATGGTATTTGTGTTGAATATTAAGTTTATAAAAAAGTTGCATTTGAAATTTTCATACCTCTGAATTTCTTTGATCTCTCCTCCAAACGCAGAAACTGTTCGAATAGATGATAATACTTCTTCGGCCACCGCACCTGCTGCNAAAAACAAGAAAAATATGCGTTCTTAAAAAAAATTCCATTTTTAATTTTTGATTTAATTTTCGTGTTTATTAAGTTTATAAAAAAGTTGCATTTGAAATTTTAATACCTCTGAATTTCTTTGATCTCTCCTCCAAACGCAGAAACTGTTCGAATAGATGATAATACTTCTTCTGCCACCGCACCTGCTGCACCATAGGCCTGCATTTCTTCTCTAGAAACGTTTGCTTGTATCTAAGAATAGTAATATTTTTACTATAAGACATTATTTCATTTCCTGCTTATAATTAATATTGTACTCACATACAATAGCCTAAATAAAAATTTAATTGGTGTTATGTTCTAATCTAGTTCTTCTTCACTTCCTTCTTTATTTTATACAGTTTTTCTTTTAAAAAATTTGTTCGTCACCATTAAATTAAAGTCAAATTTTTTGAAGGATACTTTTTCAAACTTTTATACGAAACAGTGTAGAAAAAGCTATGTTGTTAAACTAATACACTGCAAAAAAATTTCGGATAGAATTACGGTAGAAAGTGCATTCAGGCATTCAGGGTGCCAGTACATTTTACGGTAAAATTTTACGCGACAAAAATCTGATATCCCGTAATTTTTACGGTAATATTTACTGTACAATCACTGCACTTAAATAAGTAAACTAAACTAAACTCAGCGGCGCGACAGCCCATAGAGGGCCAAGGCCTACTGTGCCCATCTCAGTTTTTTTGACCTTGGGCTCTGGGGTGCAGGAGCAGATGTTCCGGTCAGGTGGTCAGCCGAACGCGGAACCCCCAGTGTTTAGTTTCCAAGCATGCTTGGTACTCATTTATCGACCCACTGAAGGGATGAAAGGCTGAGTCAACCTTGCCCGGCCCGAGGATCGAACTAGGGACCTGTGGCACGACAGGGCGAAGCGCTATCGCTCAGCTACCGGGCGTCCACTTAAATAAGTATTACTGCAATAAAATTACGGTAAAACGGATTTTACGCATGCTGCAATCCGGGTTCCAGTACTTTTTACCGTAACTTCTTCTGGAATTTTTTACAGCCTATGGAACAATATTAGAAGCAGATTTTATTTAATAACCAGTACAAAAGACAATATTAATCTAGGCGAAAAGCAGTTCTCACTTACCTTAGCCATGACAGCCATAGCTATTGCTGTTACAGGTGTTATGGCAAGAATTACCAATCCAAGCTTCCATCCATAATATAGACCTACGCCAACACATAAAAAGGTAGAAGATAAAAAGCTGAGGCATATGCCGACTTTTTCCCCCATGCCATCTTGTATTCTGGTTAAATCCCTGAAAATAAATTAAAAATACATTAATTCTACTCAATTAATTTAATGTAGTAAAATTTTAATTAAAAAAAACAAAAAGCACATTCCGTGAAAGGAAATTGGGAGTTATATTTCTTAAACTAAGAGTATAAAGTGAAGTATAAAGATTTGGGATATTTAAATTTAATTTTAAAGCATTAAAATTTTCAATTGCATATCCAATAGGCAATTTTATACAGTGCATAACTTCTTAATATTAAAATTCTGTTCAGTTTTATAGTTTTTTATTTCCAATGGAAGATTATAGAAAGTAACAGCACACATAAACATCTAAAAATAAGAACAAAAACAAAAGATGCTGCAACAGAGTCTATTAATCACAACATGTTTCTAGCTTCCCAATAGTGTTCAGTGATAGAATTCCTGCAAAGTGCAGAGCAGCGGAGAAGGTGCATGGAGACCATGTCCTCACCAGAACTGCAAAGAGTGCATACCGGGGAAGGAACGATACCAAATCTAGACAGATGTTTCCGCAGACAGTCATGACCGGTGCAGGGCTGGCAGAATTCAGCCACTGCTCTTCATCTTGGGCCATTTCGCAGATTTAGGATGGTAGCCCTCCAAGACTTAGTAGAACTAAGGTCGATAAGTTCTCTGTGAGCACAGGTCTTAAAGGTCCTCTTAATAAGCTGTTTGATGGAACAGAAGGGCGTTTTATAGTACACTGAGAAAAAAACTTTAGTCAAAACTACCAAAATATGGTGAAATTTATGGTTTTTGTGGCTCTATAAAAACTACAAAAAGCATGGTCATTTCTATTGATGCGCTTTAATAATGATTTTGGTAAAATTAACAATAAAATATGGTTTTCTAATTTGGGATTAAATTTGGAAAAGTTCGCAATGTTATCATGATACCTTCATGGCAAAAAAAAAACATTTATTAGGTTAAATTTATTTTTTAGTTAAGTGTTTGTTACCAAATATGTGGCAATGAGAACTGTAATTTCGAAAAACAGAATTTCCTGTGGTAATGCGAAAAACAGTATTCGGGTTATCATAGGACTGGAAAAAATACAAAATGAGAGGTTTAAATACCGTATATTTCGGTTTTATTAACAAAAATTATGGTTTCTTTGCCAGAAATGTCTTCACCATGCAGAGCGGTAACTTTGCCAAAAATTTTTGTACACGTAGGCAACATGTAGACAAGTCAAAACAATTATTCCCAAATGTATAATTAAAAAAAATTAGTACTCATTGTGTATGCATAGCATGTTTTTTTTTTAAATCAAAATGTTAAAAGATTTGAAAGTTGGAAAAAATTGATAATTCCATCTGCTTTGCGATTTAAGATTTAACTTAAACATCATTAAGTAAAAAATTCATCATTTAACATAGTTTTGTATATCTTACCCAGTTATACGGCTAGCGAAATCTCCAGTTTCATGCGTATCATACCATCCGATGTCCTGTTTCAACACTGAAGACATAAATAAACAGCGGATTCTGAATGCTTGACTAGCTGCTGCCGTGTTAAAGAAGCATACAAATATGTAATTGCAAATCAACATTACTCCTCCAAAAGCTGCATTATAAATACACAGCATTGTTGCACTTTCTAAAAAATCTTCTCTAGTCCTGAAAAATTAAAAATTATTTAATTAGGAACATTGAGAAAGTAAAATGAAGTTACTAACCTTATGTCAACAATATGTTAAAGTTTTCAATAGCTCCCTAAATATTAACAGTAGTCTACTTGATTTTACTAAAGCTTAGAAAAAGATTCGATTTTTTCATTGGCAATGTGTTACCTACACAGTAATTATCTAGAGTACGTATGATCCAATAATATTGTATGCATACCACATTAATTTCATATAGAAAGAATAACTATGGGATATATTCAACTCTATACATTCAATTTTTGTAGAATGGATAAACAGTTGGAAAGTTTTATTACCAGCGATGTAAAAATAAGTTTAGTAACTCATGCATCGGATTTAAGTAGAATGAAAACATTGATACAAAGAATACTAAATATTTATTCGAAATAAAGTTAGTCAGCATATTTTTATTGAAAAGGCATACTATACCTCTTAACGGATAGTGATATCTAAAATTGGTTAACGATGCTTGCAAATTAATTTACTTTTATTGGGATTAATAGCATCTTAGGATTAAGTGTTGATAGGCTGGCAACACTTTAGGTAGGCAAAATTTAGTGGCACCCGAAAGCCATGTTCGATTTGGTTCCCTAAAGTTTTAATCAGTGCGCCATTTTCCTTGTTTTAATTTGTTTGCAATTTTGAATGCATCTCTGCGTTTTCTTTATTCATTCTGCGTTTCGGCTGTGTAGAACGTCCATCATCATAACACTGAAACGAACCTATGTCTCTCTGTATGAAAGTATCTGTTCTTTATTTTCAATCACATTTGATGTTTGCTTAGCAATTGTAACTTTCTGATTTATTTTGATGGCTTCAATCGATAAAAGGAAAAACAATCCCAAAATTCGAATTTAAAAAATGCATAAAAAATTGTGATACGATTGCAGTCCTAAAGTAACGTGTTAATTCTTTTTTTTTTTTTTAAACTAGCAATTTTATAAAATTGCTTACAGAGATAATTGCTTTAGAAAAATATGCATATTAAAATTACAAAAAATTAAACATTTAAAAAAATTGGGGTGGGGGATTGCTCTTATATAATCTAAAAATTGTGTATTCACTGTAATTTTTTTATTACTTTTTTAATTTCACATTTGATTTATTTAATTATTTTTCGCTTGCTTATTTACTACAGGGTTTGAAAAAACCCAACCCGCCCGGGTTTTATTGAAAATACTCGGGGATCAAAATTGATTTCGAAATTTTGCAACCCAGTTCTGGCACTGGCGTACTGTCAACACAAATTCTCCATGCACAACGATTAATTTCTTTCTGCCATGAACAGCATTTTTACCTCCTCTATTGTAAAAAAGTAAAATATGACGAAAATGCTGCTTGCTGCTCTCCATATTTAAAAGGACACCAACCAAAACCTACTGCGCATAATTAATTGAACTTTTTCACACACAAGACTTGATATATCAGTTCTCAAAACATATATTGAAAATGCGGCTTAAGTGTGAAATTGGGTTTGAAAAAATACAATTAAATCCTCTGTCGGAAAAACGAAATTACTTTCCGAGCAACCCAATAATTCTTTTTCGACCAAATTTTAAAAAAAACACTTAGTGAAAAAAAAAACCAAGTAGGTTTTTTCAAGGTGGGCCCACCCAATAAAACCCGGGCTGGTTTTTCAAAGTGGGCCCACTTGGCGAATCCTGATTTACTGAAAACGCAGTAGTTCCATGGTCATTAGAATCAATTTGTGGCTTCATTGCAAAAACACTTTGCTTAAAAAGCAAGCACATTTTTTGAAATATATTATCCAAACAATTATTTCCAGTAATTAATATTTTATCAAATTTAGATATCTTTTTGCACGATAACCACAGTTCTGCGCTTAAAAATGAATTTAATTCATCTACCACACCAAACATTTTTACAGTGTATGAAACAACTGTCAATAGATTTTTGTTACATAGATTTATTTTTCAAGTGTCAGTATTTTTTAATCTTTACGTTAGAGGGAAACAAATAAAATCCAGCATAAATTAATCATTTTATAAAAAGAAATTGAATTTCGCTTCATATTCACATCCTCTAGACTTTTTATAAATCTAAAGTAATATTAATTAATTATATTGATATATTTATGTATTCTCACAAACAGTATCAAGTAAAATTTTTTAATTAAACAATAAAATAAATAGTTTTACTTTAAACATACATATTGGAAGCTGAAACATTGTTAACAGTCATGTCGTAGGTTATCATTTTCTGGATGACTTTTCCAAATATAATCATAATTCCTGGCATTGAGCAACCAGAAGCTATAGCTATGATACAGGCAATGATCATCAGCAATTTATCACAGGCAGAAGAATACTTAAACTGCAAATAAATATTTTGTTAAAGATTAAATGTAATGAAAATAAAATATGCAAAAAAGTTATTAAGAAGAAAATGTTCCTAACTTACACCGTGGAATAATTTTTTCCCTGTTTGCATGAGATTTTTAAACATATCTTACTTTCGTATCCCTGATTTCAAATCTGCAATCAGTTTTTCTCTTCAAGTTTTTCAAGTTACGGGTTTTTCTTTAAATGATATTTTAAGTTTATTTTTGTCAAAAAATACAAGTTTAAAAACCTTATATATAACAGGGGGTAGCATAATTGTTGCGATAAATTTCTGGGGAAGTTGGGAACAGAAAATAATATACAAGCGCCTTTAGTCACATACGACGACACTTGAAAACATGAATTGCAGTTGCAAACATGAAAATATCTATGCAGTTTTACCCCTGATGATGTACTATAACACCCCAGAAGCTGGCTGTAATATTTAAGTGACCCCCTGTTATATATAACGTTTTTAAACTTATACAATTCGATAAAAAATAGAATAATAATGTCATTGAATAAAGTTCGTTAAAATAAAAAGTTTTTACCCCTGTGTCATCGTTTAATGTATTATGGAAATTTCTTGGACAAGAAATGTACTGGACGTTATTTTGTAAATAAATGAAATTTTAATTAAAAAATTAAGTTTGAATCTATTTGCTTTTGATATTTTATTACTCAATAATAGTTTGACCGATTCAACTCAAACTTCAGATTTCGTTTATTTAAATTTCCTACCTTAAAAGAATGTAAAAATATTTAATTCCTATAATTCCGTTTCCTTTCTTCTTTAAATAAGTTACATAAAGTAATAAATAATCTTACAAAATTATATTTAACAAATTTTGTTTGGATGTTTATAATTCTGTGTTAAATAATTTTGAATGGCTCGGAAAGTGACGAAGATATAAAGAAAAATAAACAAACATTAATGGAATCAAATTATCCACTGCGTTCTTGAAAAAATAACTATTTAAACTATTTTCAAATTGCATAATTCCAGAAAAAGTATGCTTCTTTATCATAGACAAAAATATTTCTTGCAGCCAATGAAATTGCATGTCAATACACAATAATCGGATCATTAAATCATCACAGGAGGCAACAAAAGAATTCGGGCAATGTTATTATATCATAGAACAGAATTTAGCTAATTTATTTTTATTATGTTTGCTCACTTCTTCCTATCTATTACTTTAAGTATAAAAATTTTTTAATGTATCTCTTAGTTTATTGTTGTTGTTTTTTTGTAATTTTGCAATGGCAAGCGGGATCTGATAGTTTAGAGTTGTTTAAAACAGGAAATAGACAGTGTAAAATTGTACGCTTGTTCTGTATACAATCATTAAAAACAAAAATTCCAACTCTCTAACTTTAAACGCAACTCCCACCAATTGCAGTTATTAAGATGCTTCGTTTTTCTTTTTATTATTATTTTTTATGTGTGTTTACTGTATTTTAAACTCCTAAAAATATTTTATAGATATTGTACTAATCTTGCATTTTTCAATGATAAAATTGATAGACAGTTTCATTTTGTGTTTCATTTTTGTAAAACCAACCTCCAGTTACTACAAATATCGACAGTAAAATGTGTATCAGCAATTCACCAGAAGGTAAGTTTATCTACACTATCCAGAAAATAGGCACATAACTTATCTTTAATTTATCTCAAGAGACATTAATGCTTATCAAGGTAAACTTTACTCGCTAAGGAATTTTCATTGCTTCTTACAGGCGCAATTTTAAAACGTGCGAGAGTTTTTTCATTTCTTTTTAGTGAAAGAAGCTGAGTTTATTTTTTAAACAGTATTAAGATGTTTGCTATCAATTGGTTCATATAAATTGGTAACAGGATGGATGAATAAAACTAATTTATTAAGTTGCTAGAGGGAAACTAATTTATTAAGTTAGGTTGCAAGAGGGAAAATAATTTATTAAGTTAAGAAAAACTAATTTATTAAGTTGAAGTCCGCTGTCTTACTCTGAAAATTCTGAATCATATCACGATAAAAAGTACTGGCACAATGAATGCAGCGCATCCGTAAAATCTATTTTAATTCAAAATCGAATTTTTAACTTAATTTTATACCATAAATTTACCGTAATATTTATTTTATTACAGTGATTCAGTGATTTTACAATAAGTTTTATTGTTAAACTTACGGGATATCAGATTTTTTTAATGCCTAAAATTACACGGTAAAAACTACTGACATTCTAAATGCCTGTACTTTTTACCTAAATTATATCTGGAATTTTTTACAACGCAGCTCACCAGCTTCTGTTATTGCAACTAATTCATCCTTGTTTTTTTAATTAATAAAAAACATTATTTAATTTATAGAATATATAATTATTATAATTTTATGTAAAAACATTTTGTTTATGTTATTCATAATAAAATGAACGATTACTGAGATTTAAAAAATAATCAACTAGATCATGGATGGGCAAACTTTTTAGGTCGAGGGCCAAAAATCGAAAAAGAAGAGTTTGGTGCGCAATGTAAAAATTTCTAAAATAACGAAACAATATACAAGTTTTAATTTAAATATTAATAAAATGAATAAAATTGCGATTTCATTTTTTAAAGTATTGAGGTTCGAAGTGAGATGTAGTTATTTTCTGGAACTAGGCTAAATGTTTGTCTCTTAGTCTACTTCTGAAATTATTTTTTCTAAGGTTCATAGTTGAAAACACTTGTTCACATATATAAGACGAATTAAAGTTAGCACTGACTTACTGGCATGAGTTATTAAATTAGGGAAACTAGCTTTTGGTAATGATTTGTAAAACTCACATTTTTGCACATTTAGAAACAACTGCTTGAGATGATTGTTAGATTGCAACTCAATTAGTTCAAGCTGCAAATTCGACCTCACGGTTTCACAATTTACGTTGAAAGGCATGGTAAAAATATCTAATTCTGTTTGAATGGCACTGAAATATTGATACCTGAAACTAAAAAGGGAGTTTTTTCAAGCCATCCTCATAATTCTTAAGCTTTTCCTTATTTACTGAGGGTATTGAATTTAACCTCGGGAAATGAGACAAGTCGTTCTTAGCTAGCTGTCCGGCAATAAATTAAGCTTCAGCTTAAAAGCTTTGAGATAGGCCCAGATATCATCAATGAATTGGTTTTTCCCTTGCATCTTAACATTCGAGTTGTTCATATGATAAAAAAAATCTGTGAAAAATGCCATTCTGTATCTTCGAATATAAAATGGATGTATAATTTATATTGTTTATATTCGCAACGCATCGGCAAGTTAAATTCTATCCGCGGGCAGGATAAAGCCTTCCGGCGGGCCACAGTGGGCCCGCGGGCCGTAGTTGGCCCATCCCTGAACTAGACTACAAAGAAATGTTTAAACTTAGGAATACAAAATGCGTGATATAATCGGAAGTAATGAAGGAAAATTAATTTTAATAGTTATTTATATGTAACGCTAACATTATATCAGACAATTTGAAACAATTTTTATATCTCTTGATTTTTTTATACTCTCTATTTATATTATATTATTAAGTTAAAAAATCTTAAGAACCACCACCACCACGGTTATGAGTGTTCAAAAGAGTGCCTTATTTTTTAAGTTTTAATTTCGGAATGAAGTGTAATATCCGGCAAAAATAGTAAATCCATTTATACCGAATTTTTGCTCCATTTCAACTTTCAGGGGAGGCATCTTTGTCAACTTAAAAGTGTTTTACTTGTATTTTGAGGATTAAAATTAAATATTTATATTATAAATATAAATGTTATAAATATAAATATTATATATAAATATTATAACTCAAATTAAGCTATGCCACGAATAATTAAAATTTTATAATTATGAAGTCATATGAAATATCAAAATATATTAATCAAACTTTGCATCCCAATTCGGAAATATATCAGTAAAATTAAGCACAAATATTTTCATTTAAAACATATTTTCTTTTTTATAAATTTGTAAGACACTTACTAATGAAAAAAATGCTACAGGTGGAAATTCATCTTTAGGTTTTTCTTCTTTCTCCTTTTTCTCACTGAAAATAGAGTTAAAATAAATTTCATTACATAGAAAATGCTATGCATCAAATTTAAATAATGCCATTTAGTGTTACTTTAAAAACCTAAAAGGAAAACTGAATGTGGTAAACGAAGTAATTGTAAATCGCAAAACTGATGGGAATATAAACCCATCAAAAACACATAAAAAATTTTATTGCATGGATGTTTTTTATCATAAGAATATTTTTTTCTGTTGCCTACCATTATAGCCACCTCAAAAAATTTTCACTTTATATGAAAATATACATTTTTATTTTGTTAATACATTAAGATAAGAAGACTTAACTTATTTCGACAAAATAAATCCCAATAAAGGACTTGAACTACCAGTTTTCTGTTTTTGTAAAAGTATAATGTCCTTTTGAAACGAAATTAGGCACAGATAGGTTAAAAGTTAGGTTAGGATAGTTTCAAAAAGAAAATCACAGCACACTTTTTGGATAGGTTTTTCTTAATAGGTTACGATAGGTTTTGTAAAGAGAAGTGAGTGAGTGTTTACTTTTCCAAACGTTGCGTTAATACTACTGATGCATGATAGAGATGCATGTTTGTTTAATTTTTTTGTTTCACGCATGCCTCTTTTTAAGATTGTTTATTTTATTTTGTGAAGATTAGTACTTCCTGTCAAAGTAATCTAGTTGATGAACAATAATTCACACACAAATTCAATTAGCAAAAGAAACATATCAAGAAAGTTACTACATAAGACTAGATGTGCAAAAACAGAAATATTAAATCTAGAAATGAACTTGCTTTTCAAATATAAAACAAATTTCAGGAACTTGCAAAAATAAAAAGAATTTACTAAATTAAAAGCCATAAAGATATTTTCCAAGAAAAAAAATTTCAAATTTGTTCTTCATATTCTTTGCACATTTATAAACCAGTTCCTTTTCTTTTAAAACTCCCTTTATAATTATATTTTGCTGTACCTCTTCCTAAATGTAACAAATATTTTGACAAATGACGTTTCATGGTACAGTAATTATTTTTTGTCACCAACGGTAAAAATTTACGTATAACATCACGAACTTAACATTTAAAATACAACATCATTAATTGTTTTTAAGCTTCCGATCAATATAGAATATAACTTTATAGCTTGAAAATGTATTAAATGACATTGTAGCAAATTTCAAATAATTTAATTAAAAATTTTTTCAAACAGAAAGATTTTGCATATAAAAGTGAGAAATAAAATATTGAATGTTACTTATTAAAATCGAGCTGACCTAGTGTCACTCAAATTTCCAAATACTATATTCGTTTTGTTTAAGTTTTATCTTAAAATGTATTACAAGAATTTCCAATAAATTTTTTAAAGAAAGCCGATGAAAAATCGAATTTATTTGATGTTATTATTATAATTCGAAAACAGACAAAAATACTAAGTAAACGAAAAAGAAAATTTGAAAAATCATCTTTAAATTATGTATAGAAACATTAAGTCACTATAACCATGTTTGGTGTTATATCGCAACTATATCCCTGGAAATATTTTTTTGACAATTATTTTTTCTTAACCAAATTGGTAACTATATATATCAAAGATTCTGAATATAAAATATAACTCAATTTTTTAATATAACACTATACTCTGCGCAGCATATCTAAAAAACAGTTATTGTAATTATAAGCATTATGACTTTCCATGTTTCATCACAAGGAAAAAATTATGAATTTATTATGAATTTTCGAATTGTTCTCGAAAGTATAAATTGGCACTTTTCGGGAAGAATATTAGAAGCAGTTAAAATAATATTACAGTTAAAATCAGAAGAAAAAATTAAAACATTTTGCAAAGAACTTCAGGATATTCTTTGGTACAGTACACATATGCAAATAAATAATAAAAATAAAATAAAATCATAGCTCGTAAAAATTTGAATATAAATTTAATGATCCTAAATATATGCCAGAATCAGCTACTTTGAAGAAAAAACTTTGAAATAAAGCGCTGTGAAAATGAAAAATTTAGAAAAGGTACGCGGAGAAAATAAGATCTGGTAAAATAACCAGCATAAATAATATAATAATAACAATTTTGAGGAGTATTTCTGGTTAATACAACCAAAATATACGGTATTTAGATCCTTAATTTTGTAATTTTTGGTTCATAGGGTAACGGTGCACTGGAATTATGAATTTAAAAATTATAGTTCGTATTAACAAACGCTTAGGAAAAAAAATACAAAACTGAAAAGTAAATTCAATAAAAAAATAGTTTTTATGCATGCTCTGAGGCAGCATGATAAAATTACCAAATTTTACATGAACCAAATTTTATCACAGATGATAAAACAATATTTTATTGTTAATTTTACAAAACTTCTTACCAAATCGTTTCTGTAAAATTAACTAGCTTTTTGGTGTTCCCATAAAGCAAGAAACACGATAAATTTTACCACATTCTAGTGGTTTACTTTATACTTATTTTCTCGGTGTAAATTTTTTTTTAATACCCTTTCCCTTAATCGCGGATAAAATTGACTGCTGTTTATTAAGTGCTTCGTAAAGAAAGCTTTTCTTAAAAATTCTTATTTACTAGGGAAAGAGTTATTTTTTTCAATTACAGCAAAAGAAATAAATTTTTGACCTTAAAAATGCTTTTTGATGTGTTCTGTACTGAAAAGAAAAGACAATCATTTTCTTTTTCAAATGGAGTTATCAAAAAAATTAAATTAAATCCAATTTTCACTAGATACCACAAATATTTTTAAAATATATTTCTTAAAAAACTAACACGATCGAATAAATTTTTTTTCTTCTTATTTGTTTTGCAGCTATAGTTTACGTTTGAAGATTAAATTTAAAATGAGCAAACACCGAAGTGAAAAAATATAAGTATAATTCGATCTATCTAAGTTAAATATTGTAGGAAAATGATAATAAAATATACAATTTTTAACTTCAGAAATACTTTGTTCATAGTGTTTAGTATAATTTCATTATAAGAGCACTGCACAATATCAGGTAATTTGAAATCAATTTATAGAAAATTTTAATAATGATGTTTTTCATTAAAAATTATCCAATATCAATTCCTTCACAATATCATTTAATCAAAATTTGACGTTAAGACTTCCTTAAGGCGCATATGCATTCGCAGAAAATGGGATGTTCAGAACACACATTTAAATCAGGAATATCTGGACGAAAATAAAAAAAAAGAAGGCAAATAACTACAAAATATTTTTTACCAGAAAAGGAAGGCAAAGTAGATAGATATACTATAAAATAAATACAAATATATTATTTCTTTTCCTTGTGATATTATAAGAATTGATTTTAACACGTTTTCCTGTATATCATATTTATAATAAGACAAACAAAATATTGATTATTTGATGATTTCGGTTAAGTACGTTACGTTTAACACCTTTTCCAATTTATGATTAGTCATTGATTTGTAAAACTACGATCAGTCTATCAAAAAATAGATTATACGATGGTTTCGCTTTGGAACTTTCTTAGAGCACAAATAATTATTTGAAATACAGATTTTAAATGTTTTAAAATGATAAATATGGAAAAGTTTCTTAAAATATATATTTCGAAAAATGTTCAGTATGATGATCTGAATATATATATATATATATATATATATATTTTACATATGTCTTAAAAGAATAAATATGGAACANTATATATATATATATATATTACATATGTCTTAAAAGAATAAATATGGAACAGTTTCTTAAACTAAATATTTTTATCTATATTAAGTATGTGAGTTAAAAGAGAACCTATTTGATTCATAAGATATACGGTTTCAGATATGTATTTTAATTCATTACAATCAACATAAAAAATCAGGTTAACTGCGGCATATTATAACTCAATCTAATAGTTCCACACTGGCGCATCTGGTGGGATCTACACCTGTTCCGTTAGAACTGTTTAGGTTTAGGTTTTTAACAGTTTAGATTTATTATTTGTAATTGAATTTAGCTTCGTAGGGATATAATTTTATATTTTTTTCAACAAAACTTCTTTTTCCCTTGTGATATTATAAGAATTCGTTTTCATGTTTTCCTATGTAACATACTTGTAATTAGTCAAACAAAGAATTTATTGTAAGATAATTTCGGTTAGGTACGTTTCTAGGACAGCATAAATAATAAATTGAAATAAATATTTTACGTATCTTAAAAAATAAATATGGAATAGTGTTTTTTAAACTATACATTTTAACATGAATTAAGTATAATGATCTGAAATAGAAGTTTTGAAGGTATAAAAAAGACTTACTTTTCAGTAAATAAACCCATAATTTTTCTTAAATTAAGATATTAAGTACATTAGACAAAAGGGAACATATTTAATTCATAAGATATAAGGTTTGAAATATTTCAATTCATTACGATTACGTTCTATTTACTTGTCATAAAATAACCTTCAAACATAATAAAATTAAAATATTGTCTGGGAAACATCACATTTATTAACGCAGCGAGAAGTTCCGCTTTGAATCATGATCAATAAAGAATTCATTGATCACATTTATTGCTTATTAAATATGTAACACCTTCACTACAGCTTAAAAAAAATTAAAAAAGGTCTCTAATACAAAAAAAATAATTCTGTTTAATATGTTAGTATTAGATACACAAACTTTTAGAATTATGAGACATAGTTGCTTTGCAACTTTGTTGTTTCAGATTAGTTGTTTGAATATTTGTTTCAGAACTCTTCATGGCATATTTTTTGCCTCTTTATTCAATCTAAAATATAATAAACTATGACCATGTAATTTAAAGTATAAGAATATAATATTTAATACAGATTATTTTTGCTTGCGTTAGTTTAGCGGTGATAGTTTCTATAGGCTGATTTAAGATTCGTCAGCCAATAATTTCCTGAATCCATTAAATTGTAATCCTCGTCATAAGGTAGCATAAAATTCGATTTTTTTTTCGCTGCAATTTTAAAACAAACATTTTATAGGACTAAGTGTTATAGGGCAGAGGTT